CTAATTGGTGAGGTGTCCTATATCATTTTCCTATTATTTTCATTTGTTGTTCTTTTACATTTGTATTTTTAATTGTTACATTTTCTTGTAGCCAAATTTTAATTTTATCAATATCAATCAATAAATCTTTTTCCCAATTCATTGTCAATCTTTCTATCATTCTAAACTGGGTTATTAACATACTCTTATAAAGTTTCCTATTATTCCTTTACCCCCTTCTATTTTTTTAAAATTATTTCTTCTAATAATTCATTTTGCCCATCAATATTTAATTGTGTTTCATCTAGCACTTTTATTATCCCTTTTATTTGAATCCAGTATTGCTTACCTATTAAATTAGCTAATTTTTCTTCCTGTATTCGTGCCCCTGTTAAATCATACAAATCTCCAATTATTATAAATCCCTTATTCTTTAATTTTTAAATTATCTTTCCAAGCTCTTCATTGTTACTTTTATTTAAATATTCAATTGGTAGCCATTGGGAGGGAGGGGAGGGGGGAGGATGGGATCATGGGATGAGGGAATGTTTTAAATTTGTTCTGTTTTAAATACTGCTGTTCCCCACCCCGATTGCCATGCAGAGGGGCGGGCTATAAATAAATTATTATTATTATTATTATTATTATTATTATTATTATTATTATTATTATTATTATTATTTCTATTTTGTATACCCAGGTTTTTACCCCACTTCTCCCATATTTTATAATTCACTCTCATTGGACCAATTCCTTTCTCTTTTTCTTTTTTCCCCTGAAAGATAGCTACAAACTCCATTTGATTGCTCTGTCTTTCTAATTTAACCCACTTTGTATTATAATTATATTCTACCTCTATCATTCTTAGCAATTGAACCGCCTCAAAATATAGCTCGAGTGATGAAACTCCCCATCCTCCTTTACTTTGATGCTTGTATAATAATGCCTTAGATAATCTGGTTTTTTAATTCCCTGATATCCATTTTAATATTGACCTATCCCATTTCTTTAAAACTTTACTCAGAATTGTTTCTGGGATAGTTTGAAATAGATATATAAACTTTGGTAGTACCATCATTTTGAACATTCTAATTTTTGTTAGCGTTTTCCAATTTTACTTGCCCATTTAGAAATTTGATTTTT